TAAGGAATCCTACGGGATTACTCGCAATTTCGCATAGCCGCCTATGCATGGGAGCTTTGACTTTCACGAGTCCTGGAATCATGGCAGATGCCGCCGAACTTGCACATCCCCCACTGAAGACTCCCAGCCTGCCTTCTGCAGCAGACCAGTGACAGCCAGCTTGCCTGAACGCTGAGCAGGCCCATGTCTGTTTCAGCAGCGGAAGACTGCATACCATCTGAACCACGCTGAACCCGAATGGCGAGAGCCACCTCTTTCCATCCCCTTCACACGCCGATTCTGTGACCCAGTTTGACTGCCTAGAAGCATAGAGCATTCGGAGCTGAGGCTCTCTCTTCTATGCAACAGCTCTTCATACCACGTACACACACACACACCCAACTGTGTTTTCGATCGCACACGGCGCTGAGCCCAGTCGGACATCGGCTCGAAGCATCATTTTTGGCCGTCGTCGCAAAGCAGAGGAGAACACGACCGCGACGCGCAGGGACACGTGCTAGCAATCTAAACCCAAGAAGCTGGCACGAATGGAACGTGGATGAAACGACCCGTCGTTTGAGACATTGTCGCATCCGAAGCACGTAGGCTTTACAAACACCATGCGTCACACTTGCAGACAACGATTCTCGCTACGCCCTGTTGCATGGGAATTACTAGCATGCTGAAGAAGTGAAGTGAACATCCAGTCTTGCCTTCTCTTCTGCATCTTTGTTGGCTTTCAGCCTCAACTTCGGCTTCTGCGACATGTCTACTCAGTCCCCAGACAGCAAGGCTTCAAGGTCCTGCCTCGAGTGGTCTTCCTGCAGCTTCTGCATTTCTTTGGCAACGGCTGCATGCATCATTTCTGCCTCTGCGCCTTAACATACCGAAGGTCAGAGTCAGGATTGCAACGCTTGGGTGTAAGGATCCCGAATGAGAAACCCACGAAAAAATCAAGCTGCGCCCCGAAGGTAGGATCCTCAATCTCTCAAAAACTTTCTTGCCGAGCCCTGGTTTGCCAAGTGAGGCCCAAGCCAAGGGTTTGTGTCTGGGTTCGGGGTTTTCGGTTCTTTACTGTAGCTCTTTGACAATCACCTCCTCTCAGGAACCCTTCTTTCGAGAGTTTGGCGTGGCTTTTAACTGCGATATGTACGAGAACATGCTCGATGGCATCCTGGGCTCACTTGCTAAGTTGTAACATGTTGTAAAATGCCGTATGCGACCGACGATGGTTACGTTTACATGGAGGTGAAGACCCAAGCCCGTTCACTGAGCACCCTGCGCAAACGAGCTTCCTCTTCCTTCTCTTCGGTGACGCGTTGGTGATCTGCACCTCAGAACACAAACCAAACAGGGCTTTGATGCGACTACACGTTGGGACACCAAGATCCTGACGAAGCTGCTCCATAGCCTGGAGGACAGACTGGAGCTTGCGTTCTGCCTGCCGAACTTCTGGTGCCAAATCGAACCTGACCCTCTGAGGCTACTTGGAGCGATGCCACGTATTTGCAATGAGTCGTCCTGCCTACAGTAATTACGAAACCCTGCGGACACCTGCCCGTGTTGCATGAATAAGTCTAGAGAGCTTAACCGCTCCGGATCCCAAGCTTACCACACGATGGAATATGCTTGAGTTCCAGCCAGCTTGTCCTGGCATTTGGAAACACGGCATCCGGGTGGTTGGACTCCAACGGAATGTATCCTAGCCCTAGCTCTTCTCACACGTCACTCCGCCTCGAGGGCTGCAGCGTGCTTCTGCTCCGCAAGCAATCTGGCTTGCTTCTCTGCAGCTTGGTCCTGACACCACAGTGAGCTAATTGCAGGCAACACAACTAGGAAGCCATAGTCGGCAAGCCCGCTACCCGTGCTTCAATGCATCAGCCACATGCCCCATCACAGGGATGCAGATACCTCAAAACAGCCTCAACTTGATGTCCGAGAAAAGTCGAACCGGCACCTTGCACGGCTCCTTCTCCAACTCCAGCTTGTCTCCTGTGATCCTTTCCATGTCCTCCTGCCAGGGCTGCATTGATTCTACGGATCTTAGCAGCTTCGGAAGCTTACCAGAAGATGAAATATCTTTGCGTGCCCCCGCAGCCTGAGCCTCCGGAGTGGAGGAGACTGAGGAGACCAAGGACCAGGCATCATCATCGCTATCCCCAGACACGGGACAGGGGGACAGAGTGGCTGGGGCAGCTGCAGAAATACCAGAAGCCTGTACCTCGCCGCCACCCAACGAGCTGCGGCGTGTAGTAAAGCGTCTTGCCACTGCCTGGATCTTTGTGCTCCTTCCCGTCGGGCGGCAAACCTCCCAGCGGACTGGGCGCTGGCGATGCTGCACCCTTCGGTTTGGCGCGAGAGGTCTCCTTCGTGATCTCATTGTAGTAGAATACCTTGCCGGTGGCGTCCTTGTGCTCCTCCCAATTTGGCGGCAAGCCTCCGGCATCAGGCGGTGCAGCTGCCGAAGAACTCTCCTTTCAAACACGACCCAATCACACTCAAGTTCGGAAACGGTATATACTGCCCTTACGCAGGTTGTGGGTCGTCTGTTTGGCATGTGTTTGTTTACCACGGCCGGAAATACGTGAGGCACAAGCCAGACCAAAAGCTGCGGTCCTGCCACAACTGCTTCTTTTTGTGCCGATCCATCACGTCGACGGTACCGCTGCTGCCGCTGCTGATACTGCTGCTTCCGAGGCTGTCGACGGTTCCCTTGCTGCTTCCGGCCCTGGTCCTTCCGAAGCTGTCGATGGTTGCCATTGCTGTCAGGAACGAGGAGGGCCCGGCAGAAACTGCTGCAGCTGCACCGCCTGCAGAAGCTGGAAATGCCAATGATGGATGTTGGGCGAAGGTGTTGACCTAGCAGACCTAGCAGACTATGCAGACTTGGACGGCAGCCGTCACTTGCATACCCTCAAAATTGCCTGCACCTCGACTGGAGTGTCCGAGATGCTAAACCCAAACTGCCAGTGTTACGTGGTTTATGGCTTTCGACTGGCAGGGTGATGGTGGTGATGGTGGTGATGATGGTGATGATGGTGATGATGGTGATGATGGTGATGATGATGTTGACGATGACGATGATGATGATGATGATGATGATGACGACGAGGACGATGATGATGGTGGTGGTGATTTTAATGATGATGATGATGATGGTGGTGGTGATGATGGTGATGTTGGTAATGGTGATGATGGTGATGTTGATGATGGTGATGATGATGATGATGATCACGTTGATAATGGTGTTCATCTCGGGGGCGAACAGTGGTGCCGATGTTGATGGCAGGAAATGCGAAAGCGAGTTGAGATGATGATATGATGGCAACGGCACTGATGCTGTGATACTGCGATGGTTTAGGACGATTCTGATGAGGCTGCTCCCGACGATGATGATTGTGAAAACGATGAGGGTGGCTGTGCTAATTGTTGCAAGCTCAACCAGCACACCGATCCTCTTTGACACGCATTGGCTCTTTGAGGTCGGCTTCAGGCAAAGAGAACGAGATCCTCTAGCTCAGCCGTCAATCCTTCTGAGGCAGGGGACTTTGCAAAAATCCGCAGCTGCTGCACTACATCTGCATAGGTTCGCTTGGGATCGTCATCGACTATCCACAACAAATTCAGTTTTTCCAGGACAGTTTTCCCTTTGGGAGAACCGTACTCCAGCAGCAGCTTGACTAACAAGGACGCACACGTCTGACGCTCACGCATGCTCAGCGAGCGCAATGTGAACAGAAGAGTCTCGAAGCAATCCCATATTCGTTCTATGTTGGCACGAATGCCGGACTGTATCAAACAGTCCGCTCGCTCCAACATGGCTGCTGCAATCATTTGCTGAACGAAAGGCAGGCCCTTGGCGGCACAGTTGAAAAGCACCTGTCCGGCGGCGCCAACAACGGCAGCATCAGAACTCTGGTTGTGCCGAAGCAACCATTGGAGATTCTCGCCGACAATGCATTTAACGTGGCTTTCGGCAAAATGGGTTTTGCCTTTGAACGCGAGGGACAGACACCAGTTCCGACCTAAGAGTGAAGCAGACTCGATACAATTGACCGATGCGCAGCCGCCGGATGTAGATACAAGTGAACGAGTCAAGAGGCAATCGTGGAGCTTCTGCGCAGCATCGTTTCCAAAGGACGCTGCCCTGTGTTTTTGCGAGAAAGTCATGTCCGCGAAGTTGACAACTGACTCCGGCCTGCCCGGCACAATTTGCAGCACTTGCAACTCACAAGCTTGGCTGGAAAGCAGCTCCTGTTGTCTGTTAGGAAACTAGTTCCAACATTGACCTGATTACATGGATTGCGATGCGAGGTTGCACGAAGGAAGGAACGGCCACAACATGCCACGACGCGGCAAACGTTCTTGCACGTCAGCGAGCACTCTTCACTACGCCTGTGCACATCTTTGCCGTGGAAACATGTGTTTCATGGCGATGTCCGTTCGCACATGTCGTAGAAAAGCGGAGCACTCGGACAGTTCTTTCCATCCATTCAACTGTCCTGAAGGCTTTTGTGAATGGTAGGATGCGAGCCAGTCAGCTGTGTCATGATTCCAGCTTGCAACACTGGGTCGTGTTGACAGACCGGATTCGGCTCCCGGAGCGTGCCAAGACCCCTTCCGCGCCTCTCCATGCTCCCCAACCCGGCCACGTGCTGGATCAAGGCCTGGTAGCGGTGCAAGCACATCTTTAAGCAGAGGCCCCGACGAGCAACGAAGCAGTCGATGCGAGGCGGCGGACTGACTGCGGGCCTCAGGACTTCTCGTCTGCTGGGAAAGCCGGCGCCAGTTCAGCAAATCCTTCACCTCTTCAGTGCACAAAGATGCACAGAGGACGACAAACAATATCAACAAATCTCGTCGGCAACCCTGCCACTGGCCACTTCGCAACCAAGCTGCGCTGAGGTACGGCAACATGCTTGGCCTTAGGCTTCGTGAGCAAAGACTGTGGAGGATAAGCGGAAATCATCGGCAAGCAAGCGAAAACCAGCGCCAGCAGGCTGTTGACATTGACCGAGGAGCAGAAGCAGGTCGTAAGGAGCAAACTCCCCACCACCAACCTCCGAATGCGAGTTCAGAACTCGCTGCTGACAGTCTCTCGGAACAAGGTCTTGAGCCACAATCAAAATTGGATTCTTCGTCTCTTGGCAGCCATCGTGCCAGTAGCAACGCAGCTTCGGCTGCATGCAGTTGCTGCTATTAAAGCGCCCAGCTGCCATCGGGCCGTCGGAACATATCGTCGCTGAGGTCTCCGGCAACGACCAGCCGACCTGGGCTCATCTTGTCCAAATGCGTTTGCAGCATCAGTCACACGATTGAAGGGCTTGTGGCAAGGGGCAGTGCCGTCCTCAAAGTCCGTCTGGCAAGCTGCGTCCATGCGACTATCTTCCTGTGACGAACCTTGTGATCGTCTGGACCTTGCTTGGCACTGCCTGATGAGCGAAGACTGTCGGGTGCTGTGCCTTACCATGTCCAGGCAGGTCGCTCGAACTCGTCGTCCGAGATCAGCTGCGTCCTCTCGACGCTTTGCGTCGACTCCATCGCCCGAGAAGCTCCGCTTTGGACAAATCGGTCTTCTGACGTCGTGCGATTGAGACTCACCTCGCCAAAGAGCCACAACGCTGTCATCCAAGCAGCCAAGACAAGGCGGAGCACGAGGCAGCCACTCTCGTCTAGTTCACAAGGCGTGGCTTGACACACGAGGGGTGCTCTGCATCAGCTTAGTCAAATTCCGCAGCTGCTTGCACGCATGTCTGTTCTCTGACACCTCAGTCGATCTGGGCTCCAAGCTGTCCCGTCTTCACCATGCCAGTGCTCTTCGTCATGGGCATCCTGGGAGGGCAGCTGACCGACTAGATTGTTTAGCTTTTTCTGAGAACAACGGTGCGAGGACCCCAGAACTCAGAACCCGCCTGGGGATAAGAACCCAGTCTCCATCCTGAGTGTCCTCATCCTCATCGAAAAGCACGCGCTGCTCGGGGGGCACGCAAGTGCTGCCGCCACTGTCGGTGCCATCGTCACAGTCGGAGGTAGCGCTCTCGTTGCTGGTGATTATGCAGCTGGAGCTCTCGTTGCTGCCGGCTCTGCCGCACTTGCTGTCGGTGCCGGCGCAGGTGGAGCTCTCGTTGCTGTGGGTGCTTCCGCAGCTCCAGCTCCGGTTGCTGTCGGTGCCGCCCCAGCTGGTGCTCCCGCGCTCAGGATCGGGCAGTTCTGCAGACCTTGGCGTGGCGACTTAAGCTCAGCTTGGGCTGTGGGCTGTGGGCAAAACCATGGCTCAGTTTTCTCTCGAGTCCTATGGCATAAGAACGCCAACTTCCATGTGCACGAATCAACATGCAACCTACAGTCCGTGCAAGAACAACTGCACCCATTTGCAACCCCCGTCTGGAGTCCCCCCGTGAAAGGCAGCGAGTGCGATCCCAAAGCACAAGCACTGCAACAGTGGAGTCAAGCTTGCTATTTGACGCGGCAGATTCCCGGGCCGCTCAACGAGGCTAGACAAAACGAGTTCAAGCTGAAAATACGAGATGGGTTGAATTGCAGCAAAAGGAACCTCCTTTGCTGACACCATGCCTGTCGTGCGTGACCTGGATGACATGATTCCGCTGCAATTACCATCGCCCTGCAAGGAAACTGTTCCCTTGAAAAGTAAGGATCGGTGCTGTCTCCCGAAAGTAACCGGGTGACAAAAGCGCTTCGGCGGGGCCTTGCAGCAACGTATTTCAAGCTGTTTCTTGCGTGCACCTGCTGTGAGCTCGCCATCATGGACTGAGTGCAAGCCAAACATCGAAGGCGTAGAGCTGTTTCTTTGTCATTCGGGCATTGAGGGCGGCTCGCCTCGTAAATGTTTCCTTTCTTGCAGACATTATGTGCGCATGGAGAGCTCTTTGTGCCTTTCGACTCCTTCTTTCTTGCTTTGGCTGCATTTAGGGGCCCCTTCAATTCGCATCATGCCTGGCACAGCATCCTGCGACCGGGGCACATGTCTTGCCAATGGTGTTGCTCTGCTGGGATGAACCAACTGGCGAGCTGATGGCAGTGCTTGGTACAATCCTCCAGCTGTTCATTGGCGCAGTACAGCCTTAGATGCGGTCAGCCAATCCTCCGGTACGAGCCTCAAGGTGCATGCAGCTGGACTCGCAGCCGAGCCACTTCCATTGAAGTTGGTGGCTATGCAGCGTCATCCAATTCAGGTTGCACTGAAGTGCAAAGTTGGCTCTGCTGATAGCCTGGAGCTGCACCTCCATGTCAAGCCGCCTGGGATGCGCGGGCACCCCTTGCAACACCGGATCTCAACGCGACATGCTGCACACCCCCGTGCCAAAGCCGAGCTCGCTCAGGGCCCCGCTGAGCTCTCTCCTGGTGGAACCTGAACAGGCGTGCGCCAAATCCAACGGCTTTGCCTCGAACAGGAATCCTTTGACCCCCTGACTGGGCCTGCCCTCCAGCCTTTCCAGCACATCGTCGAGTTCGCCGAAGTCGATCACATGGTCAGCATCATGGAGCTTGAGCCTGCGCAGTCTAGAGTCGAGCGCGCCGAAAACCATGCAAACGGCAACCGACAAGATGTCTGCTGTCTGCAGAGGCAAGCTGCTCTGCTGACGCGCTGTGGAGGTACCTGAGCCAGGGAGACTTGCGCGAGTCGCATCACCTCGGGAGAGCTCGGGGCCAGGCTCCAGCACGTCCAGCAACAGCAAGTCATCCTTCCGATAGAATGAAGACTAAGAAGAATTCCATTTTTCCAAGAAAAGCCAACCCAGTGCAGGAGCATCTTTGGGCTTTGGGGGCGCTTTGAAGTGTTCCTGCTGCCCCCACGGACCATGGCGACCCATGGCTGCTGGGAGGAGCCTCGCTGGCTCACTAGTCCCTGAAGGTGATTTGCAAACGAACTCTGTTCCGTGCCAGGCTGCAAACTGCTGAAATCCAAGAATGCACAAGGCCGACGACCCAGACACGGATGACGCTAGTGAAAAACTGTTTCAGGCATCCAGCACAGTCAAGTTCAATAAGTCTGGCCATTCAAAGACAGGAAGGAATCCACTGATGGCTTAATGGATATTTGCTTCAGAAGAATGTACTGCTTCGCCATGCACCGTCAGAACGCAATTGAGCTCCTAGCGGTTGCGCACTACTGTGCAAATCTCAGTGTGACGTGAAAACGCCTCGCTCGAACCAGATTGCCACTTCGTTTCTTCAGCGACGTGGGCAACTGCAGGATTGGCGGCTGCGCAAAGCTTTTCCACCTGTCTCTGCAGCCCAGTAGGGTCTATGGAAACGGTGGTGCTTGTGACCGGCTGCACTAGTAAATGCATCGTCTGCTGTCCTGACCAGGCCAAACCTGCCAGTTCTCGATGTCAGAACGGCTCATTAACCCATCTCATCGGTTCACCTGGTAAGGATTCTGCATGCATTGCCATTGCGAAATAAGCGACCTGCACTGCTTTGCTGAGTTGCGGGCCGTGGCATAGACGGCTGAAAAGTCCTTGCTTGGCTGTGGATGCGGGGAACGACGACCGAGTACCGGAAGGGAGGCAAGCACGCCAAGCAGAAAGGATCAAGCTGAAGCGTGTGACAGTGTGGGGCGAGGCCTCGTCTCCCTTGCCCGCGGCTCGAGCTGCCTGCAGGACAAGCCACCACACCGTTTCATAGTAGGCCAGGCCTCCTTGGCAGAGATCTGCATGCTTTAAAGGATCCCTCTCCGCGTGGAGCGTACTTTCTCGATGAGGAGTCTAAGTCTGTACAAAGCATGATGTCAAGCACGTACTCTTCAATTCTATCGAGAGAATAGCACTGTTTCTCTCGCTGGCTGCGACTTCGGGAATGTGACAGTTCGGCATCTTGGCCATGCACCGTCTCAAAACAAAAAGACGCCATCGACGATCAAGCTCGTTGGCCTTGAAAGCCTCGTTGGCAGCAGCTGCTAGCGGCATCGACCTGCAACATCAGAACTTGGGGGAGGAGTGGCTGGGACGAAAGCTAGACAGGGCAACTAGCAAGGGACTGCGTTGGAGCTTTTCGTTTATGCCAGTGTGACGAGTGCCAATTGGCACCCGTGTCCGAGGGTTCAGACAAAAGCGCTCGGAAGGGGCACGGCCGTGCAGGGTGCGTCTCAGGCGTCAATGCAACATTGACGTGCGGTCGAACAACATCCAGACAAACTACATCCGCGGGTGATGCGTGCGCAAAAGAAACTTTCCCCTGTGATGTGTCCCACCACGTTCGTATGATGTGCGATCGCCCTACAGACACAGGCCGATGCCCGTAACACCTGTACGTCCTGCGACGTGTGATCATGTCTACGCCGCCCCTGTGAGCTGTGATCTTACAGCATCCACACGCCGATCATTAGAACAAATCGTACACTCCTGTGATGTGTGATCTCACCACAGACACCCGTGGATCCGATGCCCGCAACAAACAGCGGTCATACACACGCCGATGCCCGCAACAAACCGTACTCCGTGTGCAAGCCAATGCACATGTCAAAATGTCCTCCCTGTTATCTCCCTTGATGTGTGACCTCACTCACCACATGCAGACGCTGATGCGCTGATGTGTGATCGCACCGCATTCACCGCCGGAGCCGGGAACAAATCACCGCGATGTGTGAGCGCAGAACAGGCACATGTTGAAACAAATCGTACCCCGTGATGTGGGGTCGCACAATATGCACATATCGGAACAAATCGCACCCTTTGTGATGGGTGGTCTCACAACCGACAATCCACACTCGCTGTGATGTGCAAGCGCGCCACATTCACATGCCGATGCCCAGAACAAATCGTATGTGGGATCTCACAACATACACATGCCGATCCGAGCCCGTAGCAAGTTGTACCCTGTACAGCGATTACAGCGTACCGCGTGTGATGCGTATGTGCACACGCCGATACAAGCAGACCCACATTTTCCGATGTTCGCAAGACACTTTTGGCATGACCTATGCCCGCATATGAAGTACTGGAGACGGGAAACCGGTAGGCGACCATCAAGAGTATTGTTGGGCTCCAATCAGAGCCACTAAGTCACTAAGCGAGCATCGTCAGCGTCATTGGGTGCCCAATCGGATCCTGTGGGCGAGCCCATGAGCATCATTGGGGGAGTTACTGCTGTTGTTGATGCTGTTGATGATGTTAGTCTGAGCCGGTAAACGAGCATCGTGAGCGTCATTGAGGGCCCACACGGAGTCGCGAAGCGCATCAGGAGCATCCCCGGAATCCCAATCGGAGCCGCCAGGCAGCATCATGAGCATCATTGGGGGCTCGTGTTTCCATTTGAAGGTGGTCTGAGACGCCACTTTCGGACACCCAAAAACGGACCAGGAGTGGCAACGGCCAAATCCAGCTCCAGGTAGGGTCTGTCCCAATGAGGACCCCTTGTTGCAACCTTCGGTTGGTAAGAAACTCAGCTAGCCCCGGAGGCTTTGCGATTCCTTTTTGCCAAAGCGGACTGAGGCTCCAACTGACCTACCTTGTCACCGAGATCCACGGCCAACCTTACGTCCTGAAGCTCTCCAGTCGCTGGCGTTGTGGGACCCACACTTGGGCACACCAGCCTTCTGCTGGTGCTTTAGCGGGAAGTTGGGAGCAAAGTCACCATCCAGCATTTTGGGGCCCTGCGCACAGAACCGGCGTGCAAACTGCGCAGCTTCATGCGCTTATGTGAGTCATTCCGTGGCATGTGCGAACAGCAAACGTGCGTCAAACGCTGTTCAACTAGCCTCTCAATCATCCTACACTACTACACCGAATGCGAACTGAATAGCCACCTTCAGGCCATACATCGGCGACGCAATGGCGCCCTCCTTGATGACCTTTAAGCTTTCGCAAGGCGAGGCAGGGCATCTGGTACAGTATCCAATCGTGTTCTGCAGGTCTCCTCCAGGATATCCTTCCCTTGCAGGCCTGCTTTCTGTCCCACCTCCGGCAAGTTGCGACTGTCAACCGGCTCCTACATCTGAGATGACTTGTTTTTTAGCTTGGGCGGAGGCTGCGAGACCTTCAGAAAGAGCGACCATGTTGATACCCATCACCTGGTGCCACGAGCAGCGTCTCTTCATGCTCGGCTTGCCGGCTGTTTGCCAGACAGTCGAGCTCAGCCATCGGCCATGTTGATGACCAGCTTCATCCTCGCTCCACATCCCACCTCGCGGAACTCAGGTGGCCATTACAAACTTTGCGGTGGGCTGCTGACGCTACACTAGCTCATTTCCGGCTGTGTCCACCTCCCCGAGGAAAAACGTTCTCTTGCCCAAGACGTCAAGGCACGGCTGCACCTGCTCTAGGGAAGCGTCTCGAATCTACGGCTGGATCCCAAGCCTTTGCCCGGGTGACATAACGTTTCATTGAACGTTCTGGGCGAGGGAGGGGACCTTTGGGGTAAATCTCGTAAATTGGCCCCTGCCTCCTTCTGGAGGGCTTCCTCGCCCGCTGCTAGGATCACCAGCTGGCCTGACTGCGTGGAAGCTCAAAAAGAAAACTCGCGATCTGCATAGCTTCAAGGAGACATGGTTGCTGACGAAGCCCGCCTTGCAGCGCTGGACCCTTGGAACCGCTGACTGGTGCCTGGCGACAAGAGCTTTCCGCACAGAGGCACTTGACATGGTGGAAACCGCACGAACCACGAGACATGCAGGCGTGCCTCAACAAACCTGCCCCCTTTCGCAGTGATGGCCTCGGCCTCTCAATGATGTTCACGCGAAGGCAGGCGTGGCAAAATTGGAGCACAAGACGCTGCACGGGGCAGCGGCGATTTCCTTCACACATTCCTGGCAATCCGGGCACAGTGTCTAGAGAGACATGTCCACATAACCAGCACCATCGTGCACCCTTGACACCAAGTCTCCTCGTCTACGGTAGACATATCGACAAAGCGCTTCCCCTTCGTAATGCCTGCACATGAACGGGACACCCTCGACACCATGTCCACTTCCACTCGGAGAGCCCCCTCCTGCCAGAACTCCTTTCTCCCCGAACACCACGGCTCTTGCCGAGGTGGGGTCCGAAGTGCACCTCAGGAAGGATCGGGGAGCATGTCACTGCTCCGCAAAGGGCCTGCCTTTGCTTGTGGACGAATGCACTATCGGTGTCGGACGGGTGTTTATGGGGCTGTGATGAGCTGTGCCTGCAACAAAGGAAGCTGCAGCACTTTGTTCTCGGGGTTGCAAATGCGTTTGCGGTCGTTCAGGAATCAAGGGGCTTCAAGCGCTATGACTAGCTCATGAGACTCAGCTGGAGGAGACTAGTGACGAGTGCTCGATTCGAAGGCCCTGCGTTCCGGAAAAGCAAGCGACCTTCGTCAAAGACTCCCGAGTCTACTTCGAAGAGTCAGGACATTGCTGTTGTTTACGAACACAGCTGGCGGCGGACTGCCTACGAACTCTGATTTCTGAGAAAGAAAGGATTTGGCTCAGAAGCTTGCACATACGTACAGGTGTTCTATGGTGTTCTTGGGCAGGTGCCGAAATGCGATGGCGCAAAAAAATAAGTTCAACACCCGCGGCTCGGCTAACTGCACGTTCACACATGCATTTCGTGCCGGAAGAGGAAGAAGCCTCTGTTGCAACGAGACGACTCAAAGCAGCAAACACCGAAGCTGACCAAGATCAACCAAGCCCAGACTACATGTGTGGATAGGCCTGGATAGGGTTTCTTACGTGCAGACACATGCAGTAACAAACAAAACGGCCTTGGCGGAAAAACAGAACCTGCGGCCGCAGTGCTTCAGATTTCGTCTGCCAGAGACAAGTACGTCGCCTCTGACAAACGGGACATAGCCGGAACCAAAAACTTAAACAAAACCCAAATGCCTGTCATAGGAGCTGAGCAGCGCTGGTGGCAACACACTGAGTTTCCAACGCAAAAGTCACGTCACAGGTCTCTACGACCTCCTGCGCAGTCTCGGAGACCTGGCGGGTCAGAATCGCATCCCGCCAAAAAGCGCACTTATGCGCTCTTCTCTTTTTGTCTTCATGACGGCCTTGGCGCCCTTTGCCTCCAAGGCAGCACACTTGTCCCGGGATCGATTCCTGGCAGGTACAGAGACAGCCTCCCGGAGACTGCGCAGCTTGGCAGTTGCGAGCCGGATGCGCCACACTGTAACAGGGTAGCCGGCATCGACTAATCGCCCCCTTGCCAGCAAGGGCAGCTTCGTTCATGATCTGGCTCAGCGAAAGTCTTGAAAACTCTGAGCTCTTCACGCCATAGCAGAGCCCATGATGCCCATGCCTTTGACATCGTTTTGCGCCGGCCACTTTCGATCATCTGCAGCCTGAATGCCGCACCTAAATAGCCCACGGATGGCTTTTTGTCCATGGCTCACAGGCTGGCGAAAGAGGGGCGGGGGGCACTCTGCGATCCTGCTGAGTAAAACAGGCAAAGGCTCCGGTGCCACAGCCCCTCTTCGTCCTCCGGTCCCTCGGCCCTCCCTGCTGCGTTGTTTGTCGCTTGCGCAGAGAATTCGAGTCACACGCAAGGGGCGTGGAAGTTGGACGCCAGGGCATGTCACTGCGATTCTACACTCATGACACCGTAACACACGTTGAACATGCCCAACTACCGCGTGAAACGAAGCCCGGGTGAGATCCATCTGGTGTGGGCAAGTCGGTAGAATCACACCAGTTCAGAAGCTGCTCCTATGTCCCGACTCGAGCATGTCTTGATCCCCAGAAGTGCCCTCTGCACAATGCCTTTCAGAACTCTGCCTTTCGGGGTGATACCTGGGATGTTCTCTTCTTTCAGTTTCTCTCTCTTCTTTGCAGGCCGAGCTCGCGGCCGGTCCCCGGGCCATGAGACCCTTCGGGCTCGTCCCGGCAACAGAAACGGGGGATCCTTGGGGACAGGTTCGGCCAAACTTGCGACTTCTTGTGACTCCGACTGGGCAGGCCACCAGCAGCTATTTGTCTGGTGGTGCTCCAGTTTTCCTGGCAGCAAGGCCACTGTGTAGCTTGCAGTCTGATGTGAAATTACCTGACAGCTCAAAGATCAGGTCATGCAGTTTGGTCCTGGGTTTCTTCTGCTTCTTGTTGTAGTTCTTGTTCGCTTTGGTTTTCAGCTCGTCCCGTGTGAAGGGCCTCACAAGCGCACACCACGAGCACTGGCACAAAGTGGCATCTCATGGAAGGCGACATGTCTGTCAGCTTTCGCCTCTGGTCATCCTCGTCTTCGTCATCTTCATCATCTGAGTAGTCCTGCACAGGCTTGCAGGAGATTTGATGGCAGGAGCAGGGGCAAGTGCAGCCAAAACAGTCCTCTACTGTGCTCGGGAGCTTCATCTGCAAGCTCGTAGAGGTCTGCCCAGTTCTTGCTGGCCTTCGCTGCTCCGCACGAAGCTGTCAATTCTTCAAACGTGGTGCGAAAAAGTCTGCCTCGTGCTCTCGTACTCGTCATCCTCCTGCGATGACTAGAACAAACAAAGCGAGTCTGCAAGGATAGCGTCGAGCAGCGGCTTCTTTCACTCTTCTATGCCAGCGGCCTGCTTGAGGGAGTCGTACATCTTCAGCAGCTCATTGGTTCGCTGCTCAATGATTGCTAGATACCTTCGGTGAAAGTCTTTAGAGCCGAAGAAGCTCCAGAAGAGAGGGGAAAAAAAGGGGAAAAGGCCACCGAGGCCGGCACACCATCATGTTGGCTTCTGAGATGCCACTGCCGCAACCACAAGGCAGATCCTGAAGAGCAGCTGCCCGGCTCAGACGGGCACTCCTCCCACACCGAAAACTGCGCTTCCTCGGAGGTGCAGCCGAGCCGTCGGAAAATGGACTCGATGCAGGTCCTGGCTTCTTGAACTTACGTCTCTTTGACCAGCTTCAGACACCGGGCCTGATGTGAGACAAGGTCTGCTGCGACTCCTTGTGAACAGATGATCAGACCCTCATCGCCATCCGGACAGCTGGCAATGAATAAAGAGGCGGAATCGTGCACAGTTCCACCAGCTCCTGGTGCTTCACCTCATAGGTGATGGCCTTCCGGTCGATGTCGTTCCACTTCTCCTCCAAGTTCTCAAGGATCTTGGCCTCAAGCAGAGACACAACGAATCCGTTACTCGGAGGTGGGCGGTGGTCTCGGAGTGTCAACAGGCCGCTTCCACAGCAGAGCACGCTTTTCAACATCCTTCCCGGAGCTTTGCAAGCATGACCCAAAAAAGGGTCAGCATGGGTCGGACGGAGCAGCACAGGCACACTTACTACCTGCCACTGTCTTTGCATGTTTGTTGACGACAGCAGTGAATGAAGATGGTCTATGGCTTGGCTAGCACTGCTAGTGCAGTGCCTTGCAAAACCCCCTGATGTGCATCACTTTGCTTGTTGATGTGCACCACCAACAAATCAAGACCAGAAATTAAGGTGCATCTTGAATTAAGCAGCTACATGTAGCCCCAGCACCCCTCGCTAAGCAAGGCTCTGAGAGGGATGCTGTCGGGCATCCGTCTACAGGAATCCTCATCAGCCTTATCAGAGAGCGAAGTTCATGCTCCGGCAACTGAAAGTCGTGCTTCGTTTTGTATGCGACCAACCTTAGCTCAACATTCATGGAGATTTTCTCAACGATGATCGTTCCCTCCCAGATCTATGCACGAGCTTCAGGGACAATCGATGGGTGTTGCGATGCTGCATGAAAATTATGATCTATTTCAGTCAAGGAGCGACGACAGCAATATCATCACTGCTGCCACGCCTTCGAGCAACAGAAGCCAACTCGGCTGCGACATTGTTCGAAGAGAAGCTCCGCACCTCATTGCTAGGACTTCACAGGTTCTCAGCTTTTACGAGGCCTATCGGTCTCAGGGACTGAGCTGCAAGCTAGACCGCAGCACTCTGCGTCAGAGAGCACCTTGGCATGGTTTTCTGTCTCAGCCACAAGCCCTGCTTGACACTGACCCCGCATGACAGGCGTGCTTACAACTTCCAGCAACTGAGCGGGCACATCCCAGAGGCCATCCGAAGCCACGACCACAAATTCAACCTCTGAAAGCGCCACAGAGCTGATCTGGGGCAGGCAAGCGAAGCCTTCAGCCTCCAAGTCGAAATTCCCCAGCCCCCTCGTCATGGGCAAAACTCCGCCCAAACATCCCAGTGCGATGCTTCCTCCACACATCTTCACCCGCTTCACCTCTTCCGGCAGGGAGCACGTGTGATCTGTGCTCAGACGTTGGTTTCCACCTCTCTTGAGGCCCACAACTGCACGTGAATCTCCAGCACATGCGCACCACAATGCTCCATTACAGGTGGCAACAACCACTGCTGTGCTTCCTCCACAGAGCTTCTCCTGCCTGGCCAGTTCGTTGCACTGCTGCAGTGCATGAGAAAGGGCCAATTCTGGCTTCGAGGGCCAAGTTGGCTGATCCCAGACGAGCTGAGGCAACACGCGAGAAGCGTGACCGGCAACCTCGGGATAGCGGTGTCCATCGAACACGGCCCACAGCGCCTCGCCACCCTTGGTGTCAATAACTAGGCGGTCCTCTCGCTTGGCCGAAGGGTCAATGACGAAACAGGATGGGAAGCAGCTTCTCCTGCAGGCGTCCTCAACAGCCACGCTGGCGAAAGTACAGTCTCATGCAGATCTAGCATCCCCTGCACCCCAACAAAAACAAATCTCCTCGCAGCGCTGAAGCCAAATTGGCTTTCTGGGGGTGCACGGCGTCGCAGGACTGCGGCTCGTCATCTCCAAAGGCGACTGCCAGGGCTGGCTTTGAGTCCCTGAGCGCCGCGGAGTTCGTAACTCCCAGTCCATCTCTGGCAGGGGCATCGGTCCTTCTGCTGAAGGCTCCACGGCCGCCAAATGTCAAAGCTGGCTTCTTTGATGTTCTTCGTACTTTGGAGTTGGAGACACTATTCACTGGCATGTTTTCTTCATTTAAAGGAAACCTGACCGCTAATGTGGAGGAAACGAGCCGCTGCGGATGCAACCTGGTGCTGGTTAGCGTGCGTCAGCACACCCCCTAGCCGACCTGACATACTGACATGGAGTGTCACACGAATTTCGGGCCTTCTCAGTGTCTTCCTTGCGGCTGCTCTGGCCACTGAGAGTAATGTACCTGCACGAGAAAGCAGCAAGGCAGTTGTGGAGATGCAGGCCCGTAGTCGGGCTCGTGAAGCACAGAACTCCAGGTCGGGGCACTCTTCCTTGTACTCGGCGATCTGCTGTTCGAGCTTTTCGATCTCTGCGCTGAGCTCGTTGTTGTACTTGAAGAGGGAAAAGTTCGTGTCCTGGCTATAGTGAACCGCAGGAGTTGGAACATGGATCTAGGATGATTAGTGCGTATACTTTAGCTTACAGGGCATGAGGATAATGATGTTCCAGCTTTGTGGCTTCTACTGTACGTCCGATGTGTAATGTCTTTAGATACCTTGATGGATGCCCGAGAAAATCACCTCTGCATCGATGAAGTTCTGCACCAGCTGGTCAATGTCACATATTCCAGTAGCCGCCTGGACATGTGAACGAACACGACAGTTGCAAGCAGCTCTGACATGCCTGCTGGTTACGAAAAGATACAATCATGCCGGCACACATCAAGCAAAGCTTGCAAACAACGACACCTGGATGCGTGCGAAAGCTTCCTCGTAACTGGCAACCTCGCACACAGGGACCAACTCGAGACTTGCCATTGCAAGAGAAGTTGCTAAGGAAGACTACTCCAGGTAAGAAGATGCAAAAGTGTCCGGCCTTGTCCTGATTGGAAGTCATCGTGACCAGGGACTTTGTTGTGTCCCATGTGTGCCTTATGACCAGCATAATCGGAAGAGAATAGAGTGTCTGACAGGCAGGCAGAGCAGAAAGACAAACAAATAACTGCAGAAAAAAATGAAAAAGAAACAGGCCTGGACAAATGCAACCTGCCAAACACTCGTGCCCTCGTGAACACCTACACATACAAGCACATACACGTTGTACTTCCACATATGTATACGAGTGAAATCTGCAATATTTCACTTCTGAAGTCAGCTGCCTCGGCTTGCACAGTCCCTCACTTTCAAGCCATCCGAAGTCTACATAGAGCCTCACTTTCAAGCCATCGCACCCTCAACCTCAGCCGTCAGAAAGCTGCTAAAACGTCAGATCTTGCAGGTCGATTATTGAAGATTCCACGGGAGTCTTCTACGGAATCTTCAATGCTGGATGTTCTATTGAGGGAAAGAAATATGCTTTCTAGCCAGCCCGATCGACAAACCATGCTGCCCCCACCCACCAAGCAGACCTTTGTAAGGTCCTCTGTGGGTCAAGGATCGCCGCACGACTTACATTTGCCTCTCGGGGGGATTGCACCGATGTCTCCTATTTAGGCGATAGTCGTAGACTATGACAGGCCTACAAAGACGGATGGCTGGGCAGAAACTGCCAAGGATCTGAATATGTGTTGCATGCTCTATTCTACGTGTATTGGAGGGTACTGTATGCTATGGGGGCACTAGGGCTTGTGGTCTCAACTTAACACATAAGATTTGCGCAGGCTATATTGAAAACATGCACGGCTTTCACCTTTTACGGAGGCAGGTTCTAACAAAGGCACTTACAGAGTGCAGATCTGCAGGGCTTCGACGAAAAGTATGTTCGGACTGGATAACCATGATACAGCAGGGATGATCGCCAGAATTGCAAGAAGACGTACAAAGCTCACGAAGAAGTGATCGCCCTTGCAGTAGGACCATTGCCAGGCCAGTGCGATTCCAGGGCTGGGATGCTGGGATGCACCCAACAGCACCATCCGTGACAGCTACCCGTATGACGTCCTTGGCCTTCTTGATCTTAAGGAGGAACCCAGAGCGCATAATCATCACAACTCATCGTGAAAGCAGCTGCACTGAGCAAGCAGCTCAGAATGTCTGTCAATCGGCGATTGTAGTTGTAGACTCTGTAGACGGCCACCACCAACCACAATGAGTGACCTACCATGACGAGGAAGGCGACACTGCCCGAGCACGGTCCTGACGGGCAGGCTCTGTCCCGTCGTGACTCACGCATCTCGGGAGGTCACGACCGGGCAAAGCAGTGGTCGCGAGCTTCAGCTTCCGATTGACCTGCTTCGCATTGATCCCGTTAGAATCAGAAGTGACAATGTTCCATCTTTCGTGTCCCGATCGGGAGCTGACCGAACGACTCCCCCAGCGCCTTTTCCCTGCACTCTCAGTGCCTTTGCCCTTGCTCAGCCATCAGATGACAATAATCAGACAACCGGGCTCGTGATCGGATCTCTCACGCCCAGCTCCAAGCCGCATGATCCCCCAAAGAACTTTTGAGTTCTGTTCTCGGGGCGCCCGTGCAGTTCTGCACGAAGCTATCCTCGGCACTCATGTCGCGTTGGTTTCCTGGCAAATGCCAATCTGCTTGGCGCCGCGATGGCGGCGAAGGAAGCTGCATGTGAGTCGGTCTGCCTCTTCGGGGAGTTGGTCCTGAAGCTTCGCTGCTTGGATAGGGTCTAGTTTGCGCCGATAGCGTGCCGACCGGTTCCAGTTCCAGCCCGACTGATTTGCCGTCGCGCCCCAGCACCGAGGACATCAAAGATGTTCTGCAGGTTGTTGCCTTTGCTTGCGCATGGTGATATTAGGCCCTGTCAAGCAGTCCCGGCGCCCACTCCGGCGACCGTTGAAGGGAACACAAAAGACCTGCCGTCCGGGAGGACTTGGCGAACAGATTTATGCGCGCAGATGGACTCGTTAGCAAGGCCAAGTTATTGGGAGTTTAAACCATGTGGAAGATGATCTGACGGCTCGATCGATCGCCTGAAAGCTGGTGTCTAGATGGAGAACGATCTGTTTCCAAAACTCTTCTTTATCGATCGAAGCTGACTCCTCGGTTGGGCGGACAGCGATCTGCTTAGAACGTCCGCCAAGTCGGAGTCGATCGGGACGTCCACGGTGAATGGGTGGCCAAAGTCAAGCGACGGCTCCCTGAGGAAATCATGACGAATGCAGCAGATCGAGCATGATGGAGCGATTGTTCCTCGCAAGATGGTCACGGATATATCGGATCAACGCTGCTCTGTCGAACTGTCGAACGGAAGACCAGTCCCTAAATCCCATCCTACCATGTAACAACTCATTCAGGAATGAATGAATTCAGATTGGCAGAAAACTTTCCGAACAGAAATACACGCGCACGAAAAGACATGCACCCCTGCAAATGTCAAAAAAGCATGATCGAAAATGGAAACGAAGCACAAAAACACAACCATCAGCATCATTACCCTATTTAAACGCGCTGCAACTGGAAATCAGAAGCGCAAGGAATCCCAGGGAGTCGTCTGGTCTTGCAGTTAGGACAATTTCAGACGTCTCTACTGACTCTACTGCCCACGTTGCGGCACAATGTTCGCTTGGAAAGAATGATCAGGTGCAGACTTTGTGATCTTCTTTTTGTGCTTGTCCTCATCCTTGCTCTCGCCTGAAAATCCATAACTCTCCACGGCCAAGGAGTTGGATAAGAAGCTGCACCCTAGGGGTGCGACCCTCTTGATTCCCACGCACCTGCAAAAGCACTTGGCAGCAAAGTCCAGCATCATGACACGCACTTGTCGACGAGAACACCAGGGATTAGCAATGGACACTTCCTGCATGCGGGCTACCTACTTTCAGCGTGCCGGGCTTCGGAGTTACCCTGATAATGCGAGATGGGGAGCACCAAGTCATCGTCGATACCGATAGGACTTCATAGGCTCACAAGAGTTTGTTGCTGGCGACAGCAGCATGTTTGTGGCTGTCGCTGTAGCACCCGCAAACAACAAACTACGTAGTCACGGCATGAACTTCATTGTGCTGGGCAGCCAGTGCCTTCGTGCGCATAAACTCTTTCATTCCTTGGATGTCATCGCGTTCTGTGGTAGCAGGCAAGTTCAAATTGTTACCGGTCGGGTTGTGGCGATTTAATTTCAAGCTGCTTGCAGGGAAGCCACTCTTATCGTTCTCGATGAGGCGACCTAGCTCCCGCCACTCCTGTGTCAGAAACTAGACGGGAGGGCCAAGATTGCAATCAGAGGTAGGCTGTGTCGTTCAAGTGACAAGCTTGCCGCTTCCTTCTCGAACTCGGCATGCTCCTTGTCTGCCTGTTGCTTCAGGGATGCCTTAATGATCAGGATGCACCCGCTTGACACTTACCATCTCGTGGGATGAACCTGGGTGCCTTGCCATCTGCGCCTGAGCAGAGTCTCGAGCTTCATAGGCGGCGTTTGCCTCCAGGACGCAACGCTTGCTGGAAGTGGTCTCTTACATGCTTATGCTCACAGCCTGCTCAATGATGTTTGCCATTTCCTTCTTTTTCTGTTGCCTTACTCCCAACAGGATATTCTTGACAAACAGACTTTGGAATGGATCTGTTTGGCTTTGAACTGACCTGAGGAAGCAACAACTCATTCTCTAACTTTCGGTAGATGTCGTCGAAGACCTGACAAGTGCTCCAGCATAGGAACGACAGAATTAATATGTCGTGGGCGGACCAGCACCTACTAGCAGCAGCAAGTGCGAGCATTCAATCGGACTTGGCCCCGTGCTACACGTTCCCTTCGAAGCGTGTCAATCCTGAACGTCATACTTTATGCTTGAGTGCCACAAATCGTTCGGACACGAGGCCAAGCCAGCCCAGAGACTTTCAAACCCTTTCAAACCATCAAACAGAGCATACCTTTCGAAAGTAAAGCAGTACGTTGCCTTGCATGTTGACTGTCGCAGTAGTAACCTATCGGAACAATGTTTATTTTGTACAATCGTGGATCGGGCGACTGCTAATGCGTCAGGGGTCGCAGCCACTATGCACCCTTCGCCTTCTACATCGCTTCCCTTGCCTCTCCAAGGGTGCATTGACAGTGGAAGTGCATGAGAAATATTGGGTTTTGCCGACGCGTCGTTGATGGCTAAGCTTGGGCCGGTGCCTCGCCGCTGGCTGGTTTGAAGTGATGGCTTCGCGACAGGAGTCAAGGATCCGGGACTACGAGTCCCAGACAAGCATAGTACAGGGATTACAACGGAAGCTTGGGCGCACGCACGAGTTCTGGAATTATCTCTCGGTCCCGACAAGTCAACACATTCGTAACGCCGGACCACATCTCCTCTTGCAAAAGGCGGATACAAACATCTTGCCACCGTGCTGCACCGAACAGACGCCACGAAGCCACTGAACATGGTCACGATGTCGCTGTGAGAAAGATAGACTAGCTTCGATAACTTTCGACCTACATCCACCTTTAACGTTTTAATTCCTGCCTAGCGCCATGCGGGACTCTCAGAAAATCCAAGCACTTGGTTTACTTGGCACGGAATGTGGCGCGGCACCTCTTGATTAGTTCTGATTCCATGAGATGGAAAATGATGAGACTTCGCTCTCGGCGCTGACAAGCCAATGCGCATGAGTTTGCCAAGCCAGCTAATCGTCGTGTCGGGTCTTGATGCTGCAGCGCCCCGTGCACGACGGCATCTAGCTACATGCCATGAGGTTAAAACGAGACAACTTCTGAGACGCTTGCTGCTCGCGCAACGTGCGATTGGCGGCAATGGCTTCATTGAACTTCTGCAAGCCCTGTTCGGCATCTGCAACTGGAGAGGCTGTGTGTCAACTGTCTTCGCGCGGCCTTGTCCAGTCTATTCTCCAGGATTCGGATTTGCTTTGCAATGGCCTGGCACAAAGGCTGCCAGCACTCTGGCTCCCCCAGTCCAACGCAGGATGATGCGAACGGCATATTACGTCTGGAACACGCTTGGTCTCCATTATGCAGACATGAGCATGACCGAACACGGAGCAACACATGCACTGCGTTGTGAAATCCTCTTGCGCCGATTACGCAGGCCTTTGAGTTGTCGAGTGCTGCATTTACACCACCGCTCTTGGCCATCTCCTGTTGCCGAATGGCAGAGTTTCATCGTTCTTTTGCCGGGGACAGAGGAAGAGTGCATTCCTGACAGCTCACGCCTCTCGAAGCTCGAAGATCCGTCTCTGGGTCGAGTCGAGCCTGGGTCAAACATGCAAGAAACTTCCGGCAAGCAGCGCGTCTCTGCATTGGCCAATATGCGAAGTTGTGCACGGCTTTGCGCATCCGGAACACGATTCAGCCGCTGCGGCCCCGACTTGTCCTGGAGCTTCTTTGCCTCAGCTTCCTGAAGGAAACGGGTGGTTTCCCAGGGGAAAAGGGCCCGCTAGAGCTGACGCAAGGTCGCCCCGGGCCTCGCCGTCTGTCTTTGCAGTGAGCTGCTCTTTGTCGGCCATCCTGAGTCCCCACCCCAGAGAGCCGAGCCAGGAAAACTTCAAAGGGGTCGTGGTATGCTGTGGTATGTTGTGGTCTGGCTGTGCTGGTGGATGCGAAGCCTGGCCCGATTCTGCAGTTCAAACGGTTCAGCGCACTGGCTGTTTGCTATCCAATCTCCTCGCCTGAGTATATACACCATCCATCAACACTTCAATCTGTAACTCGAGTCCTGCAGCAGCATGCTTGAGTCATCGAGCGAAAAGACTATGCGAGAGTCTGCTTCCCTTGAGACACCGTTGCCGACTCTGCACGTGTTCACCACCCCAGGTGTCTGAAATGTGAAAACGCGCTTCTGCCTGCAAAGGCAATCCGTGCGGGCCGAAAACCCACCAAGAGCCCTGCATGGTAAGAACTCGAAAGACTCATAAATTCAGAGTCTGTCTAAACTTCTGTGAATTTCAAGCTGCTCCCAAAGAATTTCGATGCGTACCAACTTATGAAAACTTAACAAGAAGACTGAAACAACTAGGCACAACCTCACATGAAATTGAGTTCAACAGTCAACATATGTCAGCGAAGCTGTCACAGACACTCTGGTCCAATGTAAGCATTTATCATTTATCACAAGACAATATAAGGGGTTGGCAGACTCACAATCCATTTGCATATGGGTTGCAATCATTAACAAACCCACTTGCAACTGAAATGCTTCTATCCCTGCTAGCTACATAGATGTCGTGCATCTATTCCCTGTATTAGGCTGTAGAAGCTGTTGATTTTCGCGTGCGGCCCCGAAGTCTCGAGACAAGATGTTCCCCGGAATGGGCCAGACTTTCGTTTCCCCGGTATCCGTTGAAAAAAGGAGGCTTGCTTCTAGAGGTAAACCTCCGAACTCCAAGGAGAACGGGCACAAGGAAGCCCCAAACCCCAAAGTGAAACAGTTCCGGCTCATAGGCCAGCTAAGACACTCGAAACAGAAATCACAGAAAAACAGGCACGGAATAATAACCTATTCAGCAAAGGAAGAGATCGCCATGGCGAAGAAACCCAAATCCAATGATCCAGAATATCTTCGAAACTACTATACAGAAGAAGCACAAGACAACATGCCCATCTTGTACTCATGGAAGCATTGCAATCAAATGTTACCATTGAAGGCCATGTCTATATTCAGCAAGGCTGCGCTGAATACATTACACAAACTTTGATGCAGATATTGATGTCCAAGTTTGAAACGAATACACGAGTGTAGTCTATTATGGTAGGCTAAAAGAAACATCTGTACAAAGCGACTTCTCAAAAATCCACGGACAAGTGAAATTGAAAATCGAATTATAGAGATGTTTAACGCTGATCAAAAGAATGTGTTTTTATATGTCCAAAGATGTCCTAAGCATGTACATACGCACTAACAAAAATCCACGGGATACCTGTCTTCAACCAAATGTCAAGGGAAAGAACAACGGTGATGAAATTCAAAACACAGTCCTCCACAGCGCAGATGTGTCTTCGGCCAATCTGTTTTTCAACAAGCGGCTGTGCCGTGGCTACGTGATGCCACAAGAAAGGTAGTGCACGATGGCATCACCATTAATGATGTTATCATGAAAAGTATGAAAAACCTTCCTCTAGCTAGCTACCTACCTACCTTCCTACCTACCTACCTACCTACCTACCAATCTATCTTTCTATAACTGCAAATATAAACGGACTGTTGACGAACTACAAGAATTTTAGGGAAACCAAAACATCATATGATACTGGCGACGGCAAAAAACTAAAGAGGGCCATAGCAAAAGTTGATATCGGAGCAGTGGAGGAAGGAACCAGGACAGCTCAGCATTTGTGCATGCGTGTGCAAACACAAGCATGGGTGTAGACTGTGTATGCACATGTTCAGCTTAGGTTCCTTGTCGAGGTTGGCCCGAAGGAGCCACTCTTCGCCATTGTGCGCCGTGTTCGGCTCTGAAGCCTCAATGGGAAAACCAGTTTCACCCTCGAGCTCGGCAGCGCGGTCAATCATGGCATTCGTGATGGCCTCTTCATCGCCGTCCAACCCGGCCTTGGTTTAACCATCGCCTTGTCCCTCTTCGTGAGCCGGGCGTGGTCCAAAAGGTAGAAGAAGGCCTCGCCCTTCGCCAAAAAGCCGTCCAAACCGACGAGATGGCTCCTGTATATATCAGCCCGCGTGACATACGACTCCATCGACTCACCAGGGCCCGGCACAGTTGCATCAAACGACGTCGGCGCTCATCCACCCGATGCTTGTCCAGATGCCTTATGATCGTGGCCTTTTCAAGGGCCTTGAAGACCTTCTCCTTGCCATCGTAGCCATTCAATTCGTGATTTGAAAAATGCTTCACCAATTGCCCGGCACGATCCTTCAGCTGAACCATCATTGCCCCGCAGCCAGTGGCCCCCCTCGCCCCCAATCCAGAACTCCACGCTCCTCTTCCACTTTAGATAGCTCTCTTGAGGACGTGCCCGGTGTCGTGCTGACCTTGCCGGTTTTTTTGGCCTCTCCCACGACCTTGACCTCGCCCTTGTCCTCCTCCTGGTTCTCCGGCTCGCGGTTGCGGTAGTCGCCGGTCGTTTCTGGTCATAGAAGAAGTGCCTTCCTTCATATCCTGGTTCCGAAGGAATTCTCCGAGACCGGTTCTTGTTCCAATATTTTCTGGCCTCCGGCCGAAGGCTGCATGGGCTTCCAGCTCCAATTTTCTTGGTGGTCCTGCGGGCCTCGGCTGCTCCATGGATCCGGTGATGACCCAGACCAGGATCCGTCCTCCTTCCATCCATCACACTTCTCTCCTCCCAGCGGCCAGGGCCCTTTGCCTCGCTAGGGTCTTGCCCCACTTCATGGGAGTCGCTGGAGAGCCCGCCAATACCGGCATCCGGGCTCCGCAGCGGTCACGGTTCTTGGACCCTTTCTCACAAACTCGACTCCTCCATCCCAGTCGCGTCTCCGAAGGCCTCGTAGTAGGACCTCGTGGTGGCTCTCGAAGCACGGGCTCGGCTGCAAGCCGCCAGACAACAACCACAAAAATTCAAATTTTCCCAAACTCCAGGATCACACGCCGGAAAACCCCAATGTCGCTGCCCACCCGCAGCCCGCCAAGACGCCTCTCAGAGCGCCGACCTGGATCGATCAAAACCAAAGGCTCCGCTGCCAGCAGAAGCTCACAGTGACGAAAGCGCGATGGCAACTGCACGGCAAAACCCTACTTTCACTTCCTAGCCCTGCTTCACATCAAGCCACCGCGCTTGCGGATCATAACAAGCCGCTCAAACCGCTGCAAAATGCTCGGAATGAGTGTAACACTAAACCCCTGTTGGAGTGCGGCAACTGAGCACAACACTACACAACACAGAAACACCGAGAATGTGCAGGACAACCGACAGGATGCGGATGTCATCTTGCCTGTTTTGAGGATACAACTCATAGAATAGTACCGATAATGCCAGGACTGGATATGGAAGTATTGGCAGGCCCAACATAAAAGCATTACAATCATTACAACATCTCATATGAAGGCCTTTTTTGAAAGGAACTCTCAAAGACAAAACAACGTTCGGATACAACAGCTTCCCCCACGCAGTTTCTATGAGTTCAGACTGACTTCTTTCTTATTACGAATGACGTAGTATGTTCAGATGAAGCTCAAAGACTCTCACAATAAAACCCATTCAGCTGGATTATCGCCCAACGAGGCGGGAAAGCCTCAGAACGAACTCAATTTAAAGGCAAATGTTGCAGTGAATGCAACAAGAACGCGTAAATATTGTGATTTGGAGGTGTCAACCCAGGTTACAAGCCCGAAGGCGAACATGGGTGTGGCAAGACATAAATTAAATACACAAGAATCAGCGACTTCAACACATCAACATGGTATGCAACGGGGCAGACACTTGCAAATCTGAGACGCGAGTTACTGAAAATTCAGGTGCTGAGTGTGCCTGAATATTAGGCAGGGGCATGCCTCAACTTCAGGCGAGGCGTGCCTCAACTTTAGGTGAGGGGGCTCCTGAACTGTAGGCAAAGTTATTTCCTAATCTTCGGGCAGGTAGTGTGCCTGAACTTTATGCATAGGGTGCCTGTACTGTAAATTGGTTCGTTCGCCTAAATTTTTATTCGACTTTTCGCGAGGGGCAAAAAGTGAAGTTCACGGAAACCCGTAAAAGATGTTCACTATATTTCCTGTCATTTCGTCACAGGTTTTGAGCTTCGGGGCAACATTTCACGGAAAAAGAGGCTTCCGTGACATTATCCTTTTTGCACAACGTCTGTGTGAAACTCATTGGTTGCACCTCGTCTGCGTGAAAAGAGTTTTTTGCGCAACATCGGTGTAAAAAGCACGGTTTCGCATGTCCAAAAACCTTTTCGACAACATCTGTGCAGAAATCACTTTATGTGCTACTGCTGTTCAACCGGTCAATTCAAGCTGGTTATGCAAGACTTGGTGCTATTGTGCATTCGAAAACGAAATTAGAAAACTGCTACTATTGAAAATAACACAAAGTCCATTAGCAAAAAAGTAAAACCGTGTTCAAGGTCCTAGGATTTGGATTTTTTTGCAGTGGGATTGGGATGAAACAGTGCGTATACTGGCATTTCTTCGGTGAAATAAGGTCGGGACTTTGGCGGTGGGTTCGTTTTACAAACTGTGGGTTGGCATGTGGGCACCGATCCGTCAGCGGGTTTCGTCACAACTGGGGCAAGGTCTTTTGTAAGTTTCAGAGAATTCTGCCTCACCTTTGTACTCTGCCTGGTGTTTTTTTTGATGGCCTGTCCGGTGGCTCCCAGGCACTAAACACAAGCGTTGTGACAAGAAGGGCTGTGAACCCCATGCTGGTTCATCATAGCAGCACCTCGATCGTGATGCAAACTCAGACTCCGACAGCCTGTTGATGGTCTCCTGCTGCATTTTGGCCTCTGCCTGCTAACTGCTGGACGTTACCCGCCGCTGCCTCGATTGCAGCATCTGGCCTGAGTGCCGCTGCTGGATCGAGTTTCGTTGAGCTCTGCCTCAGACGAACTCTCTGTCCGGCCCTGTTGCGCCAGGTCAAACTGTTTCAGCACCTGCCTTCATTTTGCGATTTTCGCGCGTAAGCTTCTCAATGGTGGCACGCTGTTTTCGAATAGTGCCTTTGCAACTCACTCTGCAGGTCACATCGAGTATTGCAAAGCAGCTTCCCTCGATCGACAGCCTTGAGAGTCTTCACTGCAGGCTCTCTTGTCGTTCTCCTCACGGTACAATTCCGGTCGGCAGTTGCTCTGCAGATCCCCTCAAATACGGGCCCCGGGTTGCTGTTGCAATGAGCCAAGCGGCAAGGACGCGGAATTTCCGCTGGAGCTCAGCGATCTCCTGCTCGATAGGCTTCCTGCCATGTCGGACTGCCTTTCAGTCGTTGCACGATGCAACAGAGACTCTCTGCCTGTCTTCGTCCTTCTTCTTTTTGAACATTGCCTGTTCGACACAATTCATCACAGAAGTTCGTCGTCCACGGAGGCAAGAACCGGCAGTCTAGCCCGCTGGGGCAGACGCCATCTTTGAAGCGCCTTGACGATGCTGGAACGGCACCTTGCAAGCAAGCTTCGCTCACGGCACATAGAACGGCCAGACAGTTGCGGCGAGGAGGATATGGGAACGCATGGACAAACTCAGATGACTGAGTCCCGAACATCAATCAAAGCAGGACAGGTAAGAACTTTCCGGTTCAGGGCAGAACTCTCGATTCTATTTCCAAAAAATGCACCACGTGCCCTGCGCGTACACACACACACAAGACCTACACATGCCGACCCTGCGCCTCAAAGCAGCCCGGGGCGTGTGCGGCGCCCCAACTTGAGCCCAGTCACATCCAAATCACGAGCTGAACTGCAACTGCAAGGTTCTGCACAAGGTGTCACCATGCGCTTTCGTGCATCGAGAGTGATTCTACCACGTTCCACCTCTTTTGTGCGGTGCCACTCTTGCGAGCGACTTCCTATTATCCACTGTTGCTGCCAGCATCCTGGCACGAGGGCCTTGTCTTCTCAACCTCCAAATGTCTAAGTTGCTGATTGTGGCATTAACCCAACAACCCTAATTGACTGCCATGCTCGACAGAGTCCACAATGAAATCACATCCAGGCTTCCTCACAAATGAAATTCGTCTGGCCACCGGTGGCGACCTACCAACAAGACTGCACTGCAGGGAAGACTAACTTGTATCGTTCTTGGGTGTCCGAAAGTGCTCTCAAAGCTATGCGTCCAACTTGTCGCAGGATGTTGTGTGCTGTACACCAAACGGGTACGAAAGGCATGGCCCTGCCTCGTCTGAGGGAGCGCCCGGGACCGCAACCAAGGCGCAGGTCCTTGAAGTTTCCATCCTTCTTCCACAGAACTGCTACCCTTTGTGAAAGAGGTGCCGTCTGCAGCTTGTGCAGTCGCAACTCTCGTGCGGGCGCCTCAATCAAAACTTTGAAGACTTTGGAGTCAAAGGTTCCGCAGTCGCCCAGTTTGAGAGTCTAGGATTGCACGGGGTTAGTGCCCATGGGTGAAACACAACTCCTCAGCAAATGCATCTGAAAGAGGTGTTCATAGGCTGAACAATCTGCCATGCATACCAACGACAGAAAACGCATTGCTGTGCTGCTGGCTCTTACCAGCATCGGGCCCAGTGCGTTGGAACGCGTTAAGCCATGGCGTGGGCGATTCCACCGCAGCATGGCACCTCAACATAATTGATGGCGGCTAAGCCGTGGGAAATATCAAGACGTCCCTGCGCAGCCGACAGCATCGCCCGAAATCCATACCCACTTAGAACACAGAGCCGAAGAGAAGTAGCTTTCTGGGCTCGATATGTCCATTGCTTCCTTGTGCAATGCACGGGCCCAAAGATCTGTAGCGGTGGGCAGGGACCCGAACAGCATGCCAGACGAATGCCAGCGTCGAAGGGCTTTAGTGGGACTTCGCTGAATCAGCTACCAGTCAGAACCCCAATGAGAAAGGGAAACATGCTCTAAGCCCTGTCGTGGCACCCTGTCTTTCGGCAACTCGTTTAAGACGTCCTCGGAGAGGGGCATAAAACACAAAGCAATCGGAGGTCCACAAGCAGCTCTCGTAGTTTCAGACTTGTTCTGGCACATCAATGCTTCTTGTAATGCAGCCCTGTGGACTTTCGTCAAATGCAATCATTACATGAGCCCGCCTCAGGCGGTCCCCGAACTGCGCAGAACTTCTTTCTGGCAGTTTCACGTGACACGGCGAAGGATGGCTCTTTTTGCAGAGGACCCAAGATCTCAACACTGTGACTTTGTCCGAACCGTTTGAGCCATTCCCATTTTGGCCCATTCCCTTCTGCCGACAGGAGAGCTAGCGGAGCTTCGTGGGACCGGCCTTCGCCTCCCCGAGAACCTCGGCGCTCGGTGCTTTGGAAAAGCGTTTCATGGGCGAAGCACCCGAGCGACTCACAGGCCACAGGCTCTTCAGAGCAGACCACCCTCCGACCAATGTCGTTAACAAACCTCAAAGAGCAACTCGCCCCATGCCGCTGGTGCAGCTCGCAGGCTCCGCCGCTGGTGCCCAGCCGGTGCAGCCACCTGGGGCCCTGGCCAGCTCCCGGATTCCTTGCCATCCCTTCGGGGCCTCGAAGCCATAAGGCGCCTTGTCAAAAACAGGGCACATGATGACATTTGGACATGGCGCTAGCGACCATGTCACATGGGCCTCCATGAATTTTAGCAAGGCCGTGCTGGGGCCATCTTCAGCCGCCACGTCGCTCTTGATGTGCATCCTTTGCCCGCCACGTTGCTGTGGCATGAACCAGTGTCCGTTTTCAAGATTGGGTGTCGGACAGCATTCGCCGTGCCACCTGCCACTCCCCTTGGGAGTAGTTCTGGTAGCCCATGTTGAAAAGCTGGAAGAACTCTACCTGTACTGCATTGGACATCAATGTTGGCACGTGCGATTCACCGAAAGTTGCTAGCTACGGGTGTCTGAGGAGACGGCAGTGTAGCGCTCTCGCATTTGCAGGATAACCTCACGCATCGGACAAAACATGGAGGCTGGAACTAAGGGTCCGGGTCTTCTGACCTCGTCTGTTACGAAGATCTCTGCCAAATCCTGCACGAATTATGCGACTGGACCAGCACCCGGATTGTTGATCGCTGGGTGCTGTTTCTGAATTGGACAGAGGGAGCTTGACCATGCCGTTCTTAGGAGCAGTCGCACTCCTTGTGGAGCACTGCCTTCTTTTCCTGCTCTATCTGCTGCCGGACCTGCAGACATGGTGACAGAGTCCTCATTGCTGGACGGAACTCACACAGCACAGCCGTCGTTCAGTCACGAAGCCGGAAGCTGAACAGTGCACTTTCGGCCTTGAACCTTTGTCGAGTGTTCCAGGCAATCCCCTGGCACAACCACACCGCATGAGGACATGGGACGACGCCTACTGGGCCTAATGCCACTGCCACCGCCACCTACCGGAAGACGACGACGACGACGACGACGACTACTTGCACTTGTGTTTCCACTTCTACTCCTACTTCTACCTACCTGTACTTCCGCTGCGAGTGCTACTGCACCCTCTGCCTCTGCTGCCACTACAGCCACGACGACGAGGAGGAGGACGAAGACGACCACTACGCCACGACGCCACCACTGCTACTACTACTACTACCACCACCACCACCACCACCACAACCGCCACCACCACCACCTCGACGACGACACTACCACAACGACTACGACTACGACAACGACATACAACGACCACACATACGGCTACGCCTGAGACTACGACTATGCCCACGACTATCACTATGGCGACGAGGACGACGACGACGACGACAAGCTACTGCAACTTCTGCCACCACAACCACTGCTAGTCTTCCACATACTGCTTTTGATCTTTTGTTTGTTTGTCTCTATAACTATCCCAAATCGTAAAACTGATTTGCCTTGGGTCGAGACGTCAAGTCCACTTCCACACCTGAGCATAGCAGCTTGGAATCTTCACTGGGGCTAATTAGGGTTGGGCGAAAAGCAGGGGTGCAAAGACGGCTTCCCAAGAGCACGACTCATGTAATCCAGGTCGATGCAGTAGAGCTCCATCGGTGCTGGAGAGCCTCACCCAGAAGAGTCCGCGCTTGGGTTCCAGTTCAGCATATACAGAACTTGACGGCCTCTCACGATGACTTTGTCAATCAATCGGCACTGGGACCTGCCGGCTTCTGACTTGCCGCAACACGTGGATCATCCGAGGCATCTCTTGATCAGTCATCACCGAAAGACTTTTGCTGAGATGGGCGCCGGATGGGGTAATCACACAGATCAACAACCTCGCGGCAAACCATAGCATCGACCACAACAGCATTAGGATCGGATGAGGTGCTGAGGGCGCTGCTGATTGTGCCACCATAACCGACACGCCATAGGCTTCCTGCTAGAGGGCGACACTTGCTACGAACATGCCAGGCTTTCAATCGCATGCGAGCTGCTCTGTTGGGCACGGGTCAAGCAGAAATCATGCGGTCACACACGGCAGGGCCCTAAGCGTGACAGGCAGACAGTGGATCGCTCGATGGACGTGGCGATGCTCACGTTCGGCGATAGATATGAACAATCGATTTTGAACTCGCTGCCGACCTCAAGGAGAAGGATCATCAGGAAAATGAGCCAGCATCACATCCAGCAGTGTCTGAGATCACCACGGCACCTTCAATGGCCCATCCTTTGTGAAGGCCGATGCTCAGGTGCACCCGGCAGTTCGAGCCTCAGGTGCATTTCAGTACACTTCATCGGACTCCCGCGGAGCTTCGCACGCTCAGATTACGGCCCAGTCGATACTGCAGCCCAGGGTGTTCTCTATAGCTGCCGAGCAGAGGCCTGCATGTTCATCACGTGTAGATCCAGGGTCAGGCCAGGACTGTGTTTTTGAGGATTCTGCGAATGGTGCACGGCGCCAATGACGCATGCAGAGGAAACTATGGCACCTGCACAGCCGACTCTGGACAAGCAAAACGAGATGTTCGTTCCTCAACAGCCATCGCCAAACCAGCCTTCTGCATATTTCTGCATCAGCTCGGTACCATCCAATCCTGACGGACATGAGGCAATCTCATCGGCACATGTACACTCACTTCGGCTGTCTGCAGAAGACAACTTGAGACCACGCACTAGTCACTAGTCAGCATTGTCTGCAATATTTTGCAATTCCCAACATCCATGACCGGGAATCGTGCAGGGATACCGTGTCCTGCATCATGGCTCTCCTTCCAAATGACCAGGAAAGAATCACCAGTATTCTTGTTCGGAGCCTTGATCGGTGTTCATTCAACTGCCCCTTTACTCCATGAGAGACCGTCACAAACCTAAAAGGACGAATCAGCTCCACTTTGCCGACTGCGTCTCACCGAGCCAAGTGCTCCGTGGAATTCATTGCAAACTCCATGGACCTTGGTGTTTCGAAAATTGGCTGTCCTGCCCCGAAAACTGGGACGATCCAAGCGGAACCTCACTGGGCTGCAAACGATTTCCGCTATTTGGTTGGAGAACATCATGACCTTGGCCTGGAGGACCTGTTGCCGATTGCGCAGGCATCATTTTTTTGGGCGGCCCTATGCAACTCACTCGCAGTAACTCCTAATGTACAGTCTGTGAGTAGATGGAAAAGAAGCTAGCTGTGAGGAGTGTCTTGCACGTTGGCAGCCTCACTAAGTTACTCCAAAATTGGCGGTCTACAGCTAGTCTGTGAGCTTGTAGATACGAAAACGGGAAGGTAGGGCAACCGGTCGGAGGGTTCCGGGAGGACTTTAAAAGCCTGTGCCAGAGTAACTTGGTACACTGTTCTGTCCAGTGGACTCTCCTCCTACCGGGCCTGAGGCCTGCACCTACCGTTCCTCCTCTGTCCTGAAAAGTATGTGTAAAGCAGCAGTTCCGTTCTATACTGGTTGGATGGGATCGAAGAATGTGCCCGAAAAGCTTCAACTGTGATTTGTGGATGTGGTGTGTGAGGGGGGTTGCTCAGTGAGGAAGCGAGCCTCTTGATTGGTGTATGTACGGGCAGAAGGCTGTAAAACCTGTGTGTAGTAGGTGCTCTTGAGGTGTAGAATCTTGCGTAGGCTCTGTGAGTGGAATGCTTCGAGTCTGTTGTCGTCGCTGGTGGTCAGGGCGGCCGATTCCAGCCCGTATGTACAAGTGGTATGAAGACTGCGTTGTAAATTCTGAGCTTCCACTTGAGTGTGAGGTCTGTGTTGCGCCAGAACTGGTGAAGCGCGTAGAAGTGCTTGCGGGCCTTAACGAGGCGTGTTGTGATGTCCTTGTGGGTGGAGCCGTCGCTGCTGAGGGTGACGCCAAGGTACTTGGCATGCTGCTCAATTGTGACTGGTGTGCCGTCTGTGAAGGTGATGGCGTTGTGTGAGGTGGAGGAGCGTAAAAGAAGGCATTTCTTGAGGTTCAAGTGCAAGTTGCTGGAAGAGGCAACGCGCTGTAAAGTGTGGAACAGTTGTTCTGCTGAAATGGCAGTGCCAGCCAAAAGGGCGGTATCATCCGCATATGTTAAATTTCTATGGTTGGTTCTGACTGTACAGCCACGGGAGAAATTCCCCGTTTGCTGTGAGGGCTGCGTCCACATCATGCATGATCATCCCATGTACCACCAGAAAGAGGTATGGGGAAAGTGGACATCCCTGTCTGATGCCAGAGTGTGTGGAACGCTGTATCTGTCGAGAGCTGTGAGCAGGGCCTGTGGGTGGATTTTGTCTGCTCTCTCAATATTACGGCGGATGATGTGGATCGGCTGTGAGGTGGGCCGTGCTGCTCTAAACCCGAAGTGGGTGTCTCTGAGTCTGTCGTCGATCGCCGATGTGTGAGTGATCTTGGCAAAGAGCTTGTATGATGTGCTAAGTAAGGAGATGGGTCTGTAGCTCGCTGGGTCTGTGAGTCTGTGAGTGGACCTTTGCCTTTGTAGATCTCGACGACTATTGCTGTGTGCCAGTCGTCTGGTATGGTGGCTGTGAGAACTGATTGGTTGAGGACTCTGAGAAGTGCCTGTTGATTGTGTTGGTCCAGCCATTGCCAAGCCTCGGCAGGAAGGGTGTCTGGGCCTGGTGCTTGGCTGCCGTCTCATTCTGGGTTGCCTGCTCCGAGCCTTGCACTCTTAGGGCCTCAAGTGCAGCAGCCACTGCGGCAAGCTGCGAAGACATGGCATTTGAGGACCTGTGAGGAATCCATGGCTCCTGTGAGGTTTAGCAGAGAAAAAGGGGCGCGAAAAGCTTGCGCACTCGTGAGCCTGCGCAGGCATCATACTTACCCTGAATTGTACAGCTGCCACCTACGCATTTCAGGTCATGAATCGTCAGCTTGCAAACAATCACTGCACTCTTAGCTCTGAGACGTCAAAACTGGACGACTCTTTTTCTTCGCCGTGTGGATCCGTAGCGCTGCATGAGCCGTTCGGCGTGCAGGTTCACCTGCAGCCGGCGACGGGTGCGCATCTCACAGGGTCGTCGAGGGGATCCTCTGCCTACCACCTCCGGCTCCTGCGGCGTTGGCGCCGTCTGATCTGTTGGAGACCCTCAGCGCCGCGAAGATCTCCCCCGCATTGGCCGGGCACCGACCCGTCACTGACCGGGCTGGGGTAGCCAGCCCGACGCCGACACCGCCGCTCGAACGGACTGGCCTCAAGAACGCCTTCGCAGGCAAAAGTCCGCCGGAATGGCCGCACCAGAGTCGGGCCCAGGCGTCGGCGGGGCAGAAGGCATAGGGGCCGCGAGCGGATAGGGGCTGCCGCCGCCGCTTGGAGATGCAGGGAATCTGCCCGGATTGGGGGCGCCGAACCAGCTCCTCCTCGTCGATGGCGTCGGGCTCCTCCGGCATGTCCCCCAGCCCGCCGGTGCCACCATCTCCAAACGCCACTGTCACCACCTGGTCCATCGTCGCGGCAATTTCCCCAGCTCCGCTGGCCACCAGCCGTGTAAAGTCTGAACATGTTCCGCACGCGTCCGTGCGCCGCTCCTGCAGTAGGTCGGCCGCCAGGGGCATACCCCATGCGTCGGGCCGTCGCCAAGGCAGCCACAAGCTGCTGGGCGACAGCCGCCGCGTCAGAGAAAGCCACGACCTCCGAAGGCGCGAAAGGATGCTAGCAAGAAAAGCTTAAGACGTCGAGCCAGAGTGCTGAAGGCAGCTTTGCCGTTCACCATTGTTACTTCGCACACAAGTGTGCTTCACCACACGCCAGATATGCATGGTAAAGTGCACATCCCAGCAGCACCGTCATGACTGCATGGTGGCCTCCGCAAAAGTGGAGAAATATGGACAGAGGTGGAGAGATTGTTTGAATAAAAAGTGAGAGAGATTCGAGAGGAGATTCAGATGAGTCAGGACAATCAAAGGAAAATGAAGGACAGAGTTTGGGAGAGCATCGGACACCTTGAAGAAAAGCTTGAACAAGTCGCACAAGTGTGAGAGACACGACCACGAATCCACGTGGTACCTTGACGCATGAGGCACAACAAAGCTGTCACACCCCGAGCCCCTGTTCCAAGCGGAAGGATCCACACTTGAACGCCCGAGAAGATTTCCGACCTCCGTGGCGGTGCTGAAATCGCGTACACGAAGAATGCCGACTATACACCTCGGCGAGGTCGAGACTCCGGCTTCAAGCGAGATCCCGCCGTAGCATGTGAAAGCTGAGCTGTCCGGCTCGCACTTGCGCCCTGGCACCATGGCGTTCACACCAGCCGAGTCGGAGCCACTCATGTTCTTGCCTTAGTTCAAGGATGCAACTGGGATGCGTCAAATCAGGCCGTGACACAGGGACGCCGGCCAATGATGTCGGCACCAGCTTCGCCGAAGCCCAGGGCAAGCAAAGATCCAAGCCTTTGTTCGGAATGGCACGCGCCCTATTCCACAGAGGTACTGTTCAGCTTCACATGCAAGCAAGAAGCTTAATGATGGTCTTCTCCAGAATCACCGTCTCCATGACCTCTGGCCGAGAGGCACATAGTCTGGAGGCTTCCTCGCAGCCAGGAGATTGGGCTCTCGCCGTAGGCCACCGCAAGCTGTGTGGATCTACTACTGCCTCTAGAAGCTTCAAAAAAAGGTGGCCACATGTCTTGCCATACTTGGAGTCTTGGACATGTCGGCGAGTCCATAGCGATTCTTCTCAGTGGCTTCTGCTTGTTCCTCATCATACTTTCCTGGCATGGTCGAGCAGCTACGCTTAACATCATGCGACGGCCCGGCGATACACCGCTGGCGTGAATGCAAGTTGACGTCTGCAGGAAATCCGTTTTGTTACGCGGACAGAACTTCTGGCAATCTTCCCCCGATCCTGTTGTGTCGCCTAGCTCTCTTGACCACCACTGCCTACAAAGCCCATGAAAGTTGCACCATCAAATGTCGGGAGAGGCACCTTCTTGATTTCTTCAGCCTTGAACTCGTCATCGGCCTAGGGGCATCGAGCTGCACAGAAGGTCGCCAGAACTCGTTGAGGCCCGTGCCATCTTCATGGCCAGCAAAGGCTTATCTCGAATGGCCTGGTGCAGCCAGACACAGAAGCGAGTTTGCGAAGATACTTGACAGACATCGCATCTTCGCCTCGATCCGCTCAATCATCTTTTCAACCTAAAAGGCCAAAGCTGTCTGATAACCGACTCGAATGAGCCTGGTTGCTCGCCGAAACGATCCTTTTACTCGGGCCGCGGCAGGGCGCAGCACCAGTCGATTGGCATCGCTCGTAAACATCAGCGATGCGGTCACTAGAAGGACCATGACGAAAAACGTCACGCCCAAGCTGAACCTTCGCACAGGTGTGGCAACTGCAGGCAACTGCAGCAAGACCAAGGCAAGCTCATGGACCTCTAAGCTGTCTCGTTTCCGTTCCCGTCAAAGCACAGCCAATGCTTCTGAGCCGGCCACGCTGAGGTCTGACGATTAAAAGGTCGCATGTCATAGTAGAACGTGAGGTAGTATGACTGCTGGCCTCAGGATAGTGACGCTTGACTGCAGCACCGCATCAGTAACCAGCTCTGAGTTCCCCACGAGGAACTATGAATTGCGTGAAATGCGCCTGACATGCTCATCTGGAAGCGCCCACGACGATGATAGCGCAAACTTGGACTCTGCCATCAAGTTTGCAAACGATATCGCTGACTGCCACTGGCAATGCCTGAATCTCCGTCGCGCGGAGATCTAACGGGCACGCCACCTTTCGGAACTCGAACTGTTAGCTTGGTTTGCTTTTCTCAGAATCAACCCGCCAGAACAGGTCCCACGAGCCTGGTGGATGTTCAAGCCACTGACGGGGCTCTTCAGTAGCGACAAACCGAACAAGTCCTGGGGACGCATTTTGGTCTATAGTAGCTTGGCCTCATCTCCTAGACAGTCGCGACACTCCACTCCGAGGCATTTGCAATCGTTGACGTCGCACACGACTCTGCCCATGGTTCTGACAAAGTTGCCTTGCACACAGGGTATTCTGCACCACCATACATCACCATACCGCCTAGAATCTGCAAGCAATCGGTTCATGTGGCTAATCACGCAGGTATGCCTGCATGTGAGACTTGTGTGTAAACGCTCAGCTCATCATTCACAACACAACGTGTCACTGGGACTTATGCAACAAACATACAGTGGGCGAAGCTTGATTGTGTTTCTCTTGCTGTCAGGATAAGTTGCTGCGCTTGGGTTGCGGGCGCTGTTGTTTGCACAGACCGGACTTGCACGACTTGTTTCGTGTGCAACGTTTACATATCTTCTTGCCTCTATGCCAAGATGGCTCATCCATGTGCATACTTTCTTGTCTGCTTCTAAGCCGGCTTCTGAGAATGAAAGATGCCGTGTGACCCAGCCTTAACTTCGGGTGGCAGGGTTCCCAAGGACATCCACAGGTCCTGCAACGGTTGACATGAACTGCAGTATAATCCGAGCTGCGTCGTTAAAGCATGCATGTGCTGCGCGATGCTGCTACCAGCAGAAACAGTCCTGGGTATTGTACGCAAGGATGCGACTGCTCTCAAAGCCGGCCACAACCGTGGCATTCAGCTGCGTGTACTGCGGCAACGAGGCTCGCTCGTAAGGCATAACCAAACAACCACTACAGCATGCTAAGCCCGCGCTGGCGTCTGCCCACAAATATACAAAACGTCCTGCAAGATGGAACTCAAGTCCACCTCGCCCCGAGGCCCTGCACGAGCAATGTATGTGGCAGCGGTTGAACAAGGTTTGACTACGGAGACTTATCATGCAATGCATGAGTCCATGCATCGCATGCGTGGAATGAGTATGAGCTCAAACACAAACGCCCACTCATTGCCCCGCAAGCTCGGCTCCTGCCAGGCCAATCCAGAACAGGGAGCCTGTCAAGACTGACTCTAAACAGCGATGTAAACGAAGTTTCGGCAGGATTAATCGCTCCGGCCAACTCATCTCAGCGAGGTACATGCTGCATCTTCGCTTGCACTTTAGATCGCGGGCGACGGATGCAGACAAGTCGTGTTCGTTTGTCCAGCCTAGAAATCTTCCAGCACAATTCGCAGTCGGGCAATAGATCCCCTGCAGTCAGCAAGCTTTGCCCAGGTGTTGACCACCCCAGCCCATGATCCTGTCCTCTGCTCCAACAACAACAATTCCCGAGTAGCGGGCCTGGTGGTTCGCGACGTACCAATTGTGATAATAGACATATTCCAGAAGCGCCTGAGTTTCTCTGGGCATCCCAAACACGAGCTTGCCTTCATGCCGCCAACTGCAGGCACACTCGCGCCCCACCGAGGAGACGACCTCATCGTACCTGGACCAAGACAACTGCTCCTGTGTACGAAGCTTCGCGAGCTGTTTGGCTTGCCGCCGGGTCACGACTTCGTGGCAAGCTGTGCAGCAGATGAGGTGTTCCCCATCTTGGCCATAAAAGCCTGCAAGTAGCGATGCTTTGTGTGGCGACTTTACTTGCCTAAGAGGTACGCAGATGTGCCCGACCAAATGACCTGCCAAACTTCGTTGGCGCCATAGCTGACCGAGTACGGTGTCTGATCTGCCTGGCATGCTGGCGTCGCTGTTTCAAGACACGGCGTGCTTTCTGTCATGCCGTCATGGGATACAGGTGCAACATAGCCAGAGCTACAGACTCCTTGGAGAGCAGCGGCAGGATCAGAAGCATCGCGAGAATGAGACCTAGCTGCCGAAGCACTTGGGTACCAGATTGCAGTCCAGACTGACTTCATGTAGCATTGCAGGAACACTGAGCACCCTGAGGCCTCAACAGATGACACGTCTCGTTGTCATCTCGGACAGCTTTTTCCCTACCCGACCTCCACAGTTGATCACATGAGATGAGATGAGATGAGATGAGATGAGACATCAAGAGAAAGCACAGTCGGGCGTCTCCACACTGAGACGTCGTCGGTTTCAGCTGAGCTCGGTGCTCTCGTTGGCCTTCCCTTCCGCTCTTTCGACTGCTTCGTAGTCTTCTTCATCCCAGTCATCCTATAGCACCAGCTGATCAAAGTTGAGAGACAAGGACTTGTACATTAATGTGCAACGGAGCTGTTTTCTGCCTGCAGGTCTTCACCTGATTGCTTTCTTCTTTCTCGTTCCAACCTTCTCTGTTTGGCCTGTGCACAAGAACAGACAGCACAGTTACAGCATTCTCAGACCAGCATACCCCGAATCCAAGATGCGTTGCCTCATAATACGCTTTGTAAAGCTTCAGAAGTCTCACCTCATATGAAAGGAGTTATGGCGTGTTGGATAACCAACATCAGGCAGCACGGAAGGACTGAGCAATCTACCAGTCGAAGGACTCTAACCTTGCGTGTGCATCAGTTGGAAGCTAACCGAAGTCACTTGGAGACTGGAGTCGCGTCTACGGAAGCAGTGATTTGGACACAATCTAGGTTTCCCGCCACACGCCCAGCGCGAGCGCCAACCCTGGCTGTCCTAACCAGGGCACACTCTGAGAGCAAGGGTACGACAAGCACGGTCCCCTGGTTCCGTGGCCGGACGGGGAGCTGCTAGGGGGCCAGGGTCCTGCCGGACCGCAGGTCCGAGGCATCACCACCCTCGCCACCACCCTGCCAGTCTTGATTTCACGATCGAGGTCACGGCTTTCGGTCCTGCGACACTTGGCCTGGATAGCCTCACTGACCCATGTTAGGTCAAGCCTCACTGCCAAGATGCGCCAAGCCCAGCTCGAGCATGCTGCTGAAATGCACAGAGCTCAGCCCCGCTGCAGCAGTGTCGCCGTGCTGATCACATCTAGCCAGAAGAAAAAACCCAGGTAGTAGTCAGCCTGGCACCGCAGCTCCATTCCGGCGCATGTGAGATGAGGGCTGCGGCTAAGGCTGAGTCTTCGCACGTACCAAACTATGAAGTGAACACTGAAGTGCGAGTTGCAACGTGGAGTATTTTACTCGGTTCCTCGATTGAATCTGGACATGAACAGCCCGACCTTCCCCAGGCAAGAGAGAACCACCTGAAAAGGAAGTTGCAGGACCGAAAGCCGCGAAAAAACTACACTTGCTCAGCTTCATGACATCAATCTGGCCTCCAGCATAAAAACCACTATACCTTGCGAGGGCGGATGCTGACACAAAGCTATACAAGAGCAGTTGGTGATAGCAGCTAGTGCCTGTGGATGGCAGCTGGCAACTAAGGTTCAGGCTACCCTGTCATGCTGCCAGGTTGCAAATTAAACCCATGATGTTGAATACTATGTCTGCCGGCTTCTCCGTGAGGATTATCCTGTCCATTGGCGGCTACATCCGACGGTCAATGCAGGATGTCACGACGGCTGCCTCAAGTCGTCTGCCGTCAACGCATAGAAAGTGAGAAGTGTGGTGAAAATCATGAAAAACCTGTTGTCAACCTGGCCAAGACATGCTTGAAGCGGTGCACATACAGACACAAGGCTGCAGCCGCTCTTTGCTGGTAAACGCGTCGGATGCGGCAATTTTTCTTGACACCAAAGCATACAAGGGTATACTTCTTCCTCGTCACGCACAGCGGCACCAAGCACTGATCTCCATTGGACGCACACGGCTCATGTAACAATTCACATGCTCAGGCCGGCACTAGCTTTGTTCCTCTGTTCTTTCTGATTGGGGCTTTTGTTGGCCCGCGGACTAGTTATTCTCGGATGATCGCCAGACTCTCCGGTTCGCACCGACAGCTTGGGGCCTCAGAAAGCCAGGATGTGCCTGGGCCTTTCAAGGCTCCGCCAATGCCAAGACTGCTCTGAGGCTCCTACTGCGACCCTCCACTGAGGGTTCCGTTGAGCGACCGGAGTCCTGCTTAAGATGGGTCTCAGCTGCGGAGGTTCAGCACATCAGCAGTTGTGAACATGTGCGCAGGGCAGTCCCGTGAAGCCGGGGGCGGGATCTGCAACTGCATGGTGGGTTTCACTGCCTGTCATGACAAGCACTTGCACTCTCTCTACTCACTGCAAGACCAACTCAGGTCACCAAACAAAGCGCTTTCGAACGGAAGCCAGAAGCCTTTGATTCTTTGATCCTTTCGCCATTCGGTGGTCCCATCCTCGGCACAACTCTTCACAAATCCGCGAAGGCCCTTCGAATCGACTGCAAAAAGTGCTGTTTGCTTTGCTGTCTCGCTCGCTCGCTCTCTTTCGTTCTCTCCGTCGCTCTCGCTCACGCTCACTCTCACTCTCACGCTCTCTCTTGCCCGGCTTGGCTTCGGACAGCTGGGGCCCGTGAACCCAAACACCTGAGCGAAGCAGACCCTGGGAGACGAGCAATGTTGCAATACATCAAAAGTGTGCTCATGAAAAGCCAAGTCCGCTGCAGGAGCTGCAGCCCAAGAATTTAGGCCACAACTTCTGCACTAATCCCTTTTCAGCCAGAAAACGGTTTGCGGTTGGAAGTCTTGCAGCACGGGGAAAGTACGACCCGCAGCAGACAGGATGGACCGTTTTGGTGAGGTTCAACTGATTGAAAATGCTCCACGTCTGAGCTGGTAAGTGGCACTGCAAAGCTTCTCGGCTGCACTTCAAGGTCAAAGCTCGCCTCAGTTTGTTGTCGTGAGTTCGGACCTCGTGCGAGTTTCTGACTTTTCAAAACGTTTAGCCGTGTTCCAACCACATGACATCGTTTTCGAAACTACTGGAATGAGCGAAATGATTAGTTTCATGTTAATGATCTTCTCGGTTCGAGTTGGACGAAACCACAGTTTATGAATAACATGAGCGGGATCAAACACTCGGACAACTGCTGTTTGCTTACGTATCATGATGTGTCGCCTGCAGAAGCCACACAATGGTGATGCATACTTTTGCAGTAAATTCAGCCAAATATCAAGCCCGAGTAACAGTTCTGCAATAGTCCTTAGCAGCAAACCCCACGAATCGCAGCCAGGCCTGTATCCACGACAAGCGAAAGATTTCGGTTTGGGGGCTGGGGAATGCAATGCGAAACTCATGTGAGCTTTGTTTTTTTTACAACCAAAATCTAAAGGAAATTAATCGCCCTTCCGCTAAACCTTCCGCATCCCTTCCGCCGTGCGAAACGGTGCTTCCGCGTGGCTCTTGGAACCATTTGCTTCCGCAGATCCCTTCCGCAGCGTGTTTTCGCTATGTCGCACTATCTTTCCTTCCGCGAGTGCTGTTGTAGTCTTTGTGCGACCTGGAAGCCATCGAACATGTGGGGCTGTATATAAACCCCGTTTAAAAACATCTTTATCCCAGGCTATTATGGTAGTAGGCAGGTTTCGGGGTTCCCCATCCGGAATCGAGATTTTTGACTGACCAAGCCCTAAAACAATCGGGCAGAGTGTAGTTCTTGTTTCGGATGCTGGCTAGATTGTGCTTGATTGCAGTACAATTTTAGTATGATTTAGGACGAGTTTGAGCCAAAATCTTAGGGTTCGGGCCCAACCCCATCGGGTTGGGTTCAGTTTCCGGACCGATGCTTGCATGGGGATAGGGAGGTACGTGCAGGCCAGGCCGCTTCCCTCCCAAGCC